CCCCCCAGCCCCATCCTCCTCATCCTCCCCGAGCGATTCCCCCCGTTGGGGCTTTGTTTGTCCTTCTGGAGGACACAGTCCCCCCTCCCCATTAAACCACCCTTCTCCCAGGGTGCTTGCCCTTCTCCTCCCAAACCAGGACCCTCCCCAGCTGCTGTCACTGTCACACCCCCTGCCACCCCACAGCTGGTTTTGGGGTGCTCTCTGGGTCTCAGCATCCTCTTCCTCAGGCTGTGGGGGCCTCGCCTCATTTCTGAGTTGCTGGGATCAGCCTCCCTCCATCCCATCTCTCCCATCCCTTCTTGTCTCCCCATCCCTAAAATTAATTGATTCCCCCCCCCCCCCCCTTTTTTGGGGGGGGGGGGCACAGGGCAGGGAGTCACAGTACCCATGCGCCCGAGGATGGGCTCCCCTCGCCCTGGCTCCTCCAGGAGCTGCCCCAGCCTCTGTCCCTCTGGGAATCCATCACCTTCCCAGCACAAAGGCTGCCCTCGGTGTGGGGGGATCGGGGGGATCTGGCACAGCCACTGTCACCGGTGAGAATGGGGTGCAGCGAGGGCCCCATCCTGGGAGGGGGATGTCGCAGAGGGGAGTTTTGTTTTTTATCACGATGCTTGTTAGCGAGAAGCCCCGCAGAAATCCCCTGGTGCCGCACAAAGCCCAATGAGCCTGATGCCCGTTCATTTACAGGGACGAGGAGCGTGTGCCGGTGCCCCCCCAAAAGATTGGGGGGGGGGGGGTGTCTCGGCCATTGTCTTCCATTTCAGGGGGTGAATCTGCCTCCCCTTTGTTGGCGGCGCAGCCCTCAGCGTCGCAGTCTTTTGTTTTGAGGTGGCGTCGCCATTGGTGCTGTTGGGGGGTTCCTCAGGGCTGTCGGGGGTCCCTCGGGGTTGCTTCTGGGGGTTCTGGCCAGCACAGGGCGGGATTTTGGGGGCGCAGTCACCAAGACGTCCCTTTTTCCGGTGCTGCGGGTTCCCGATGCGTTAAAGCCGGGCATGAGCATCATCCTGCGGGGAGATCCCTGCGGCGTTGGGCTGCTGAGAAACATCAAGCCTTTGGTAATTATTTTTATAAATAAGCTCCTGATCTGGGGGAAAAATAACCCTAAAATTATTTTCGTGTGCTGTTCAGATCTTTTGAAGTGAAATGAAACGTGGTCTTTTCCTGCACCAGCAAGGCATGATTTTTAGCATTCCCCGGCGAGGTGGGGGGGTGACAGAGGTTTTATACAGGTTTGGAGGGGTTTTCCCTGGTTTTTTTTTTTTTTTTCCCCGGATTGGTGGGCAATTTTGCCCCGGTCCGGTGCCGCTCCGGCTCTGCCGACCCACCTGCCCTTGGGATGGGAGGGAAGATGGGCGAGCAAGCCCAGAGACTCTGCTGCTAATTTCTCCTGTTAGAATAATTTCTATTTTCCTCCTTCGAAGATCAGAGTCTGAAGGAGGCGGGGAGGGGTGGTAGTAATTAAGGGATTCATGCAGCTGCCGTTTAAAATTCATGAGCTGCACTGAGATAACGAAGAAATGAACAGCCCGTTTTGTTTTTACCCCCCGCACAGGTTGAGCTTCTGGGCTTGTTTCAACACTAAAAGTTTAGAAAAGCTTCAAAATCATGTAACCTTTTCTCCTGAGACAAGAAAACTCGGGGCTGAGCCGACCCCAAGCTCTCGGGGACAATTTTAACTGACCGGCACTGAGCTTGCAAACAAAATAAACTGGGTTTTCAGAGAAGCAACTTATTTTTCACCCAGCTGTCTCTCCTGGCTCTATACGTTACAAAAACGCACTGAAAGGCCTCGCAAATAGGCAAACCAAGGGAGTCACCCCTGACAAATGACTCTAATTAATTAAGGAAGGCTTTTTTTCTTCCTGCAGTCAAGGACTTATAACAATTCCTAGCCTGTGATCTAGGTTTCTTTTTTAAAAAGAAAAATAATCAAATTACAGTCGTGGAAAGGAGCGAGATGTATTTTTGCGCAGGAGCGTGTGAAATCTCTGTTGCCTTAGCGAATGCGCAGGTTATTAGTTTTAATTCTTTAATTGATTGTTGTGTGTTCATGGTGCGGTTGTGGCTGCCATCACCGGGCTGTCACTGTGCCTGTGTGGCACCGTGCTGTGCCCTCACCCCTTTCCACTCCCAAAATCCCCCCTGGGGAGGTCCAGGGCTCACCACGGGGAGGGGATGTCTATTGCTGCATGGCATGGTGTCTTCTACGTGCCGGTGGCCTCGCCGGCACGTGCCACCAGCAGCCACTCGCAGGATGGATGGCTTCTCCCTCTGTGGGTTTTTAACCTCGGAGGAGGTGCAGACGAGGCAGGAGGGGAAGCAGTGCCCTGTTCCTCTCTCCTGCACCTTCTTACAGGCGTTAACTTACCTGTAAGTAAGCACATTTCCAAAAAAAAACATCAAATTGGTTGTGCATCTTTAACTTTACATATTTAACAGGCTGACAAGTAGTGCGCATAGTTAATGCTTGCTAACACGCCTCTCCTCCGAGACTAAGTGAAATGGAGAGGAGCGCCCTTCTCCTCCTGCCGTGCAGCACAGCCAGGCGTTGGATAACAACGGGTGCCGATTAATTGCTATTTTTCCCTCCCTGCAGCATTGCGTTAAAAGCT